GAAATTGCTTGACGAATGGTTTCGTCATTCGTCAATGACGAAAGTTTCGTCATTCGTCAGGCATCTTTAAAGTCGACTGAAATAGATTGCAAAAGTTGACATCACCTTTCCATTTATTTGCTTTTCAAATATCTCCATATACAATTTCAATCCTTCACACCGTGAGGCTAATTCCATTCTAATTGTATCCATCGCTAATAGTAAAATAGTCAATGTTATTAAAGAATTTTTAATAAAAGATACAATTATTCAATGCAAGCATTGTAAACTCACACGTATCGTTATAGTTATCTAAAATTGGAATATCTAACCTAATAGTTTTATTTAATCGACTTACAAGAACCCAAAACCTTATTTGATCCACTTGGAGTTTAAATTTTTCAGCAACTATCTTTTTGAAAGCACCGTAAGTATCCTCTTTTAAAATTTCAAATTGAGAAATTTCCGAACATGCATATTGATGATCAAAATTAACAAGATCAAATCCTTGATGATTTTTAATATTTTCTTCTGTTATAACCTGAATAACAAAACTAAGGTAAGCATAACTATAATAATTAATAATTAATTGATGACTTAATGAATTATGCAAGATTACCCAAGTTTGTAAATATAAATTACTTTCTTCTTTCTTTCGGAAACGTATCGCCTTTTCTTCTTGTAAACGTCTTTCTATAAAACAAAAAAAAAAAACTAGTTCATAATCGCAGATAAATTTTTAATGAAAGCGATATCATTACTCACGTAAATATATTGGCATGTCATCTGGTATTATAGGGGATAGAACTTCATCGATATCATAATCACGAATATATACTAACATGTATACATTCATTGAATCATTACCACAGTAATTATCATCAAGTACCTTTTTTTCGGTTACCAATGTAACTCGATCATCAGCAAATTTTTTCCTATAAATGAAAGGTTAACACATTGTATACAACGAATAATATTTGATAAGATTGAAACGAACCATCGTCGATTTTTTTCAGGTCTTAACAAAGCAAAATAACGATTATTATCCAAATAATCGTCATGACAATCTTCGTGAATGAATACACTATTTTCGATTAAAAAAGATCACAGAGTTAATATCATTAATAATATAATTAATAATATCACTAATAATTATCATTAATAATATCACTAATAATATCACTAATAATATCATTAATAATATCACTAATAATATCACTAATAATATTACGAATAATATGATCAAAATTTGATTACAAACCCGTGCAATGAATATTTATACGATTTTGATCTATCAGCATCTGGTGATAAATATTTTTGTAAATCAATTTCCAAGGGAAATTCATAACGATCATTTATCTACAATAGAAATAATAGAAATTAGAATTAAAGTTTTACAGTAATTTACAAATATTATAAATTATTATTACCTTAACCATACAGTTATTCTGAGCATCATATTCAAATCGATCCAAGTGCAGATATAATACTGGAGGAAAACTTTCAAACATTACACCTTTTTTTGCAACCTATAAATATATACGTATGTATATAAACTTTTCTTGACAACAGAGTAAATTGTAAAAAACTTACTTGTAAGCCATAATCCTCTGCTTTATATTTATTATCACCATCTAAAATTTTCTCTTGTGTATAATCAAGAAAAGAGTCATCTAGATTCTTACATCCTTTCACGCTAAGTTGAATATCTATTTGAAAGCAAACTATTATAAGGATAAAATAGATGGAATAATAATAAACATGTTTACCATAGTAATCTTCAATACGTATTGATTCATAATCTACATTAACACATTTAATATAGCTTTTGACTTTTCCAGCAAAAAGTTTAGAAATTGCCCCATCTGCTTTTGTATTCTAAATTCAAATAAATAGATAAACAAATAAATAAATCATGGAATTATAAACTATACAATAAGTTGAATAATTACAAATTAAAAATAACCACCCACCCTCATTTTATTTTCAAGATTTTCACGCAATATATTGCTAAATTCTCGGATATCAAGATAGCCAAGAAAATAAAATGAATCCCAGCCAAAAAATTTTGTAAACTCGGTTGTATCGATTGGAGTATTTGAAGTTTGCAACTGATAAAAAATCCATTGTAAAGCTGAAGAAATGCTTTTTTCATTTTCAACAGAAATATGATATACCGCCTATAATAAAAATATTGATGAAAATATTGTCAAGACTACAAAAGAAGAAAGACTTGAAATGTGACAAACCTTACGAAAATAATTAATGCAATAGAGAGATTGGATATATGAGTTTACGAAAGTATTTAGCTTTGGTTTCCTTAGGCCTATATATCCACGCCATAAGACACCAGTTGGATCCTTCACAACTCGAACGAGAGCCGTTATATTACAAGAATTATTTTCAATTATAGGACGAGTTCGACCATCTGATGGAAGAAACAATTTACTTTGTTCATAAAATGATTCGAAACCCCAGTCTGATTCCTCTGTAGTAAACCGATGACGAGTATCTATAAACATAAATACCTTAAAAACATTGATAATACTCAAACAGTCATGACGGTTGATAAAAATTGAATTACTATAACGTACAGTAGCCACCAAAAGTAACGCCCGATTTGCAGATCATCTCACATGAGCAAATAAAACGGCTGTGTTTACCC